CTCTACCTTTTAGTTGACTTAAACATTGCTAATTGTGGGTGGTACATGTTTAGGCAATATATTAGCGACTTCTAACTCCCTTGCCACATTATGGTAGCAGTTGCCAAGGCTACTTGAAGGGCATGCCTGCCAGAAACACTCTTCACTTGGACCTGCAGGTGTCTGGTGGTGACAACATTGATGAAAATGCTTGACATCTCTTCCATCACATTGCATCTATTTCCTTTTGCTGTATTAACCTTTGGGTTGGGTCAGATTCTACATGGCTGCATATGTAGCCATGTTGATTATTTGAGAAATGACCAATGCTGTTACAATACAGGGTTAACTCACACTAGACTTGGTTGGTTTCTCACCTGCTAACTCCCACTGAGGGCTAATGACACCTCCCAATCACCATGACAAAACACAGGCCATGACCGCAGTGGGGAAAAGGTGGCAGGGTCTGGAGAGAGGGCTCAGTGGTGAGGAGTATTTGTTCTTACAGAGAAACAACCGCATGATGGCTCAGCCATCCGTTACTCCAGTTCCAGGGGATGTCATGCCCTCTTCTGGCTTGGCATCAGGCATGCATGTGGGGCACAGGCAGAACACTCATGTTATTAAAAAGTGACAATTGAATTCCTAAAAGATCACTCTCTCCTTGCTGAAAAGATGAATGCCCATCCCCTCCGGCCATCTCCCTTTATCTGTGACTCCCGTAAGTCCCAGAAGTGGGGAAGCTAAGCTTTGAGCAAAGCTCCCTCTTTTTCATTCTGTGGCCACTGAACAAAGCATTTCTGCCCAACACTTATCTCTCAGACTTTAGTTTCCTATGGGATATGCTTTGGGGCCTGAGTCTGATAGCAGTGTCTGGGAAATACTATAGGTCTCTCCCAGGCACCTCAGGAACGTGTCATCTGGTGGTATAGTTGAGACTAGCATCTCACTTCTCAGGCCAAACTCTGGTGGTAAGTATACGTATGCAGGAATGCCCTTGGTCCTCCTGCGGCTCTGAGATCCCCAGGATAAGTGTCCACTTAGGAGGGGTTACTTTTTACCTTGGGACACCCTGGAGAGGTGGCTCTGGTTAAGAGCACTTAATGCTCTTCGAGAGGACTTGAGTTCAGTTCCCAGCACCCACATCAGTGTTCACTGTAAGGGTATCATATTAGCAGAAAGAAGATTCTTCTGGGGGCTGGAGAGGTGGCTCAGAGGTTAAGAGCACTGGCTGCTCTTCCAGAGGTCCTGAGTTCAATTCCCAGCACCCACATGGTGGCTCACAACCATCTGTAATGAGATCT